GCTGCGCACCGTACAGCCCCGGGCCGGTTTGAAATAAGCATTTTAAAATGTTTTCAAAATAAGTCTGGCACTTTGGAGAAAACCCAGGACTCGAATGTGTACCTCCTCTGGTCTGGGAACGTCTCAGAGTCCCCCAGGACGAGCTGGAACGTCACAGAGGTCTGGACCACTCCTGAATTTTGTTCGTATCTGAAAAAAATCTTAGAATACAAAAACATTGGTGAATGACACAAATTCTCCTAAATCACTCGTACGCACAACTTAAGAACAAATCTGTGCGTACGAACGGTTCTTGCATGAGGCCCATTGTCTTGGGATCATTGGGATTGTTCTATTTTTATAATAAATTTCCAAAAGATAGTTGGTTTGTTCATTATTGAGTATTCATTGTTTATGAAAAGGGTTCCCTGAATCTTACAATCTCAGTCTTTGGTAATATAGGTCTGATTTCTAAAAGGGTGAATAAAGTATTGATCTGTAAACACTGATCTGGTTCCCCCTACAGGTAAAACAGTGTCTGCCCCACTCGCTACACTGCTGTGCTGCAGTAATATACTTGTTTTATTTATATTAAAGTGGGATCTTTACTGTCAACAATCATCAACAATACTTTGTAGCAATGGGATAGAATCTGAAATTACATGAGCATGTAGCTGCTGGACAAAGTTGTATATTATATGTTGGATTGTCCTTTCACAGCTGACTCAATGGATAAAAATCACAGTGACAAACCTCTTACCTTTTTACTGGGCCAATGGTTAACAAGCAGTTTTCATTTTGGGTGTAAATGAAGCTGTGTGGATTCTTTGGAAACTTAAGATGTTTGGACTGATAATTGAGTAAAATGTGACAAATCATATGTTCCACCTCAGGCTTTATGTAGATTCTGAGGAAACAAGGAAAAATAGGGTAGGAGAAAAGCTATAAAAATAGAAAATTGGTGAGGATGAATTGGGACTATCCTATATTTTTACTCAACCATTTCCCCTGCCATCTCACTCTAGAGTTCAGTAAAATGCACGTCCGATGTAATACACATCGGTAGCCTGAGGGAATCAAAACGAGAGTGCAAGAATGAAGATGTGAGCTATTTTTAAAGTGCATTAAATTATGTATGAGTGGATAGCTCTCACTGTATGTGTATCACTGATGTCACAGACAACAAAACAGAAAATAATCTTCACGCTGCTGGCAATTTAAAATTAATGTAGGATTTCACTGAATCTTTGTTCTTTCTCAGAACAGCAAACTCACATTGAGGGATGAGTAATATGCTTTAAAAATTGCTGTGGTCAGACATTTATTTTGAGTTTTAACTACAGATGTTTTTATTATTTTACAAGTTTTAAAACAGTGCAATCAAATGTTACTCCACTGAGCTGCGACTGATATTTTATTTACTGTAATGTGTTGACTGTAAGGTTTTAACTAAGTTTTGTCAGCCAACATCAATTACTGACCTGTTACAGCACATCTTTTCATCTCAAAGAAGTGATTATGAACGAGTCTGAAAACAAGTTTTTGTCAGGGATAACACCTGGTTTAAACCCTTTCTGATTAAGACATAATATCTACGTTGCTTAGAAATGTGCTGTTATTAGGTCCTCCTCTGCACATATGGTGTGACTAAAAGTGAATTAAAATTTGACCGCAGTTATTGTAGACAGCAAAATAATAATGTTTTACATATCTGAATCTTAATGAAATTCTTGCTTCCAGAAACAACCAGACACCACATTTTTCTTTATTTAGGCTGTAGATGGTGGACTGTGTAACATAATGGGGTGAACTAAATTGAATGTTTTTCACCTGTTTTAATACAGATTTTGGAACTGCATCTCCAGCGGTGTAATAGCAGCCATTTTAATATTATTTTTAAAAACCAAATCCAGTCTTGAGTTGTACCACAAATCTGTTCAATGCATCTGAGTCGGAACAGAACTAAATCTTGCTGCTCAGTATCCTAAAATATTATTTGATTATATCTATCTCTCTAGTAGCCCATTTGCCACCCCTCCCTTCACTAACATAACTCTCTCTGGGCCTGTCTGTCGTACAGTTGTCTGTCTTTAAGTATTGGGGGAAGGGTGAGCACTGTGTGCAATTTGACTTGGGTGTGGTTTGAGGCCTTTCTGTAACACAAACACATGGGTGTCCATGCAAATGAACATCATGCAAAAATATTTCCATGATTAATTGAAAACATTCTTCAAGGGATTGTAGATTGTAGAGCCTTTTGGAAAAATTTCTGTGTGAGTTTGTTATTGTACTGCTTTCTTGATGCGTTATTGTGTACAATAAGTTTCCGCTGGTAGTTTTCCCTCTGAGTGTATGCATGTTGTGCCAATCAGCGTGGTCTTTCCTGTAACACAAAGGTCCTGTCTGCAGCCCGGTGTGCTGCTTCTCCTTCTACTTGGATGTGTAAGTGGAGGAGTGGGGTCTGCTGACTTAATTACGGTGGATTATGAGGAAAGGGGCCAGAGTTGTTTTTATGGACTCATCCCTAGAAACGGCCAGCCTTCATGCTTCACTGTTGCTTTTGTGGTACTCATCCGTTCACATCCTGAAGACAGAGCCACACCAAAGCTTGTTATATTTTTTTCTGAAACACACTTCAACTTGTTTCTCTGTGTCTCCCCGTGCAGCCCTTCCATCCCATGGTGAACTTGAAGTGCTCTCCAGACCTCAGGATGTTCCTCTGTGCCCTCTATGCCCCAGTGTGCACTGAGTATGGCCGGATGACTCTGCCCTGTCGCCGCCTCTGTCTGCAGGCCAAGARTGACTGCTACAAACTGATGGATATGTTTGGTGTCAGCTGGCCTGAAGAGATGGACTGCAACAGGTTGGTACAAGAGCAGTGATTTAATTCAGAAGTATTGTCAACCTTCTGTAGGAAGAGTAATGGAGCAAAGGACTACACACACACACACACACGCTTGTTTTGTTTTTTTCAAAACTCAGGTTTCCAAACTGTGATGAATCCTACCCACGTCCTGTAGACCTCCTGTCCAGTTCAGATTCAACAGAGTCCCCTATTTCCATCCAGAGGGACTACGGCTTCTGGTGTCCTCGGGAACTAAAAATTGACCCAGAGCTCAGCTACTCTTTCATGGGGGTCCGGGACTGCTCACCCCCCTGTCCTAACATGTTTTTCTCTCGTGAAGAGCTGGTGTTTGCCCGTTACTTTATTGGGGTGGTGTCCATTGTCTGTCTGTCGGCCACTCTGTTCACTTTCCTGACTTTTCTCATTGACGTGTCACGATTCCGCTACCCCGAGCGGCCGATTATATTTTATGCAGTGTGCTACATGATGGTGTCTTTGGTCTTCTTCCTCGGGTTCCTGCTGGAGGACAAAGTTTCCTGTAATGTAGCGAGTCCTGGGAGGTTTAGGGCTTCGACTGTGACTCAAGGCTCCCATAATAAGGTCTGTTCTTCATTTGGTGTGTTTACTATTTTTATGTCTGCCTGTTAGTACGTTACATGTTGTGATGTTTTTTTTTCTGTCACAGGCCTGCACTCTTCTCTTCATGGTGCTGTACTTCTTCACCATGGCTGGCAGCGTGTGGTGGGTCATTCTGACCATTACCTGGTTCCTGGCCGCTGTTCCTAAATGGGGCAGTGAGGCCATAGAGAAAAAGGCTCTGCTGTTCCACGCCTGTGCCTGGGGTGTTCCCGGCATCCTGACTGTCACTCTTCTTGCCATGAACAAGATTGAAGGAGACAGCATCAGTGGAGTTTGCTTTGTGGGGCTGTACAACCTGACAGCACTGCGCTGGTTTCTACTTGCCCCACTCGGGCTGGATGTTGTGGTGAGGAAGATAATTGATGTACATTTTTATATGTAACCACTCTTAGTTCAATGACTGCTTTATAACAAACTCAGTTCAATTCTTGTCTTTCAGTCATATTATCATGTTTTTCCTAATCTTACCTCCTTGCGTTTTGGTTCTTTTACTGCATTTATTCTCTGATGTGTTTTCAATTCAAATCAGTTTATTTATATTATATTATATTTATACACCAAGTCACAACAATTGTCGTCTCAGGGCACTGTACACAAAATACAATAAATCTAAAGAAGCCAGCAGATTGCTTTATCACCGTCTCCCATCCTAGCAGCACACAAAGAAAACACAGTGACTAAAGGCAGCAGCAGACTGAGGAAATGTGGTCAGTTTGTGCTCCAGCAGTCTGTCAATAGCAACAGAAATGAAGAATAATTCAGGAAATCCAAGTCTAACTATAGGATTTATCAAAAAGGAAAGTATTCAGTCTAATCTTAAAAGTAGACAGAGTGTCAGCTTCACGGACAGAAACTGGAAGTTGGTTCCACAAGAGAGGAGCTTGATAACTGAAAGCTCTGCCTCCCATTCTACTTTTAGAAACTCCAGGAACCACAAGTAAACCTGCAGTCTGAGAGTGAAGAGTTAGAAAAGTATGGAACAATAAGATGTTTAAGGAGCTTGGTTGTTAACAGCTTTTTAGGAGTGAGATTTTAAATTTTATTCTGAATTTGACAGGGAGCCAGTGGCTAAAACTGGAGAAATATGATCTCTCCTTCCAACTCTTATTAGAACTGTAGCAGCGACATTTTGGATCAACAGAAGACTTAAAAAGTTTTTTTTGGCTGCCCGATAATAAGGAAATACAGCCTAGATTTGATAAAAGCATGGATCGGTTTTTCTGCATCGGTTTTGGACAAGGTGTTTCTGATTTTAGTGGTATTATATGCAGGTGGAAGAAGGAGGTCCTAGTCCTGGGTTCCAAATTATACAATTATTTGACAAACCAAAATAGTCTTCCTTTGACCCTTTAAGTTAGTTTCACTGTGAGCACTTTGCTCCCATTCCAAAAATACAATGCTGCTCTGGAGTAGCCGGCAAGATGCAGGTTTAAATGTAAACATTGGACCAAACAAGCATAGCAGATAATTATTTAATTGGCTTCGATTGCACAATTTCAAAATCGATACACACTTGGTAAAATGTAGTATTCACCTTTCTGTAAACAGTGTGTTGAATGTGACGTCACAACATCTTCTGCACATGCGGGTCGTGTCAGTGCCAAGGATGGTTCTTTACTGGAGTTTGATTATGGTCATATTTAAAATATACAATGTGAATGTCCAAGCAAAAATAATAAGATTTGAGCAAAAAAATTGGAATTGGGCATTAAGACCTTCATGTTTTTGGTCTGTGGGAGGAAACCAAGAGTATCTGGAGAAAACCACTATAAACTAATATCTAATTGTGTATAGGGCTGTATCTATAATATAATGTAGTAACTGCATACCAGAGGTTGCACAAGACTTTTTTTTGCTGTCCATCATTTTGACTGACAGGGTTAAAAAAATCCATCATGATCAATTTTTACCCGTCACTTCCTTTTTTAAATAATGACTAAACATTCAACAGAATGTGGCTATTGTCATATTGGTTTCGCAGTTCTGCCTCAGATGCGGCACCTGCAGGATTTTATCGGCGAAAAACTCATCAGCGCACCTCACACAAATACAGGCCACATGAACGATGTGCATGGTGCTGAAAAACAGCGCATCTGTCCCACACTAGGCCCAGCATGCACAATGACGCACACTCACTGTCCCGCATTTGACTCAGTTACCTTATGAAAAGTAAAAAAAAAATCTACAAAAACGTTATTTAGTGGCTGCAGTTTGCAACATTAGATAATGCCTCCTTATTTTTAAGAGAGAAAGGCAGAGATGCAGTCATAACGCTCTGCTTGTTAAAAATATTAAGATAAAAACAGAAAAAGAATATTACGGAGCCCACCATGGGTCAGTGGGAGAAAAAAAAACAGCCGCTGGAAATCCGTGTGCACAGATTGCTAAACTGTGYACACGGATTACTAAACTGAGCACACGGATTACTTAACTGTGCGCACGGATTACTAAAATGAGCGCACGGATTACTAAACTGAGCACACAGATTACTTAACTGTGCGCACGGATTACTAAAATGAGCGCACGGATTACTAAACTGAGCGCACTGATTACTAAACTGTGCGCACGG